TTTTCTCCCCTTCTGCCTCTCCTCCCTTCTCCTTCTCTCCCCTTTTCCCCCCTTTTCCCCCCCTCCCAACACAATCGCCCTAAGCCATACCCTCCAGCAGAAGCCCTAAGTGCCACCGCCTGCTACAGCTGCTCCTCCCCCCCCAGGTGCGGCTCCAGTGCCACGTGCGTGCCCAGGAGCGCCGCTGCGACGGCCTCGAGGACTGTGCCAACGGCGCCGACGAGGAGGATGCTGTGATGTTTGGAGGATAAATGATGCATACAAAATATACAACACACGCACACACACACACACACACACACACACACACACACACACACACACACACACACACACACACACACACACACACACCACACACACACACACACACACACACACACACCAACACACACATATAATATATATATATATATATATATATATATATATATATATATATATATATATATATTTTTTTTTTTTTTTTTTTTTTTTTTTTTTATTGATATTGCTATGAATTATATGTCATAAAACAGATCAACGATAAATTATATTTGTTCTCAATATCTCTTTGCTATAATGTCACTTACATAAACAGCTGAATGATGAATTTTTTTCAGTTTTTTCTTAGAATAAGGGAACCGCCTCCCCCTCTCTCTTCCTCTCTTCACCCTTCTCTTCTCCTGTCCTTACCCCTCCCTCCCCATCCTTCACTCCCTTTCTCTCTCCCTCCAACTCTCCTTTTCACTCTCCCTTTCCTCCTCCCTCCCACCACCTCTTCCTCTCCCTTTCTCCCATATTCCCTCATTCTCCTCCCTCTCCCACCCCCTCTCCTTTTGCCTCTCCCATTCCTCACTCCCTCCCTCCCCCCTCTTCCTCCCTATCCCTCCCCTCTCCTTCCCTCTTCCTTCCTCCTTCTCTTTCCCTCCCTTCTTCCCTTCTTCCCTTCTCCCTCCCCCCTCATTCCCCTCTCTCCCTTCATTCTCCCTCTACCCCTCCCTCTCCTCGCCCCCCCCCCTTCCCCCCTGAAATCACCAACCGCCATTCTCAACTCACCCTCGTCTCTCTCTCTCCCACAACCAGTATCTCTCACGCCCACGCCCACCGACCCCGACGCCCTCAAGAACCAACAGTGGATAAAGTACAACCGCGAGGGCCTCCTGCGCTATACTGAAGGAGGTATGCCGTCCAGGGTATGCGTTGACAACATAAACAAAACCCTGACGACGCAGGAAGCACATCAGCTGATCCACAACATGGCGGAGGTCACGTGCGATTTGCTCTCCTACGGGTAAGGACGGCGGTTAATTCCGTTGGTGTTGTTGTTCAAATGTTATGTTGTTTTTTTTATTTGTATGGAGTGCTATTTTTGCTGGTTTTTTGGAGGTGTTGGAGGGTGGTGGTGGGAGTTGGAGGGGGTGGTGGTGGGGGAGTTGGAGGGGTGGTGGTGGGGGAGTTGGAGGGGGTGAAGGGGGGAGGAGTGGTTTGGGAGGTAGGGTAGGGGGTGTATGGGGGATAGAGGGGGGGAGTGATGGGGGGGTGGGAATGTGGTGGTGAGGAGGAAGGGTATGGTGTGCGTGTGTTGTTTAGTATGGTGGGGGAGTGTTTATTCTGTTATTGTGTTGTTTGTAAATAGATACAGGCGTGTTCGGATGCCGTTGATCGATTGACAGGTTCTGGGATAGATGGGTAATTTTTGGTCTAACCTTTTAAAAAAAAGAAAAAAAGAAAGTAAAGAAACAGAAAAGAAAGAAAGGAGAGAAAAAGAAAGAAAGATATATTATATAAATTATAATATATATATAATATATCCATTAACGTCGCGCAAAGATGGCGTCCATTTCGGTGCGGTTCAGCGGGGCGTGTCGTTTTCTTTGCCCTTTAGGTTGAATATTTATTTTTTGCTTTTGTTTTCAGATTTTCAGTTTTTTTTCTCTTTCTTTTTTTTCATTTCGCTTGGGGTTTCTTTTCTCCCTCACTTACTTTTCGTTGTTTTTATATTTCTTTTGCATTTTTTTTTTTCATTTCTTTTTTGGTTCGTTTTCGTTTTTCTTTTTCTTTTTTTTCTTCTTGTTTTTTTAATTTGTTCTTTTTTTCTGAAAGATAACAAAAGGGAATGGCCAAAAAATTACAACAAGAGTCTTTAAAAATTATTAGATGGAATCAGAAGGAGGAAAATATAGAATAATGATAATAGAAATAATGGCATAATTGAAGATTCATAATGATAATAATAATGATAATAATAATAATAATAATGATAATGATGATGATAATAAAAATTATACCTGTGATAATAGCAATGATTAATAATGATAATATAATAATGAACGATGATGATAATGACAAATATTATACTAGTGATAATTGTAATGATATAAAATAATAATATAATAAAATGATAATGATGATATAATAAATGATTAAATAAGTACATACCTTTTCTTTTATATCTCCACCCCCTCTCGACCCTTTTAGCCTTGCAAGCTTTCTAATGGCCAATACTTATTTCGTAAGA